ATCTGTTGATACAATTGCGTTTGTAGGTGATGTGATTGGCAGTATTCCCTGGGAGATACAGATGCATCATGGGTATGTAACCTTTGACCTGCCCATGAAGTACTTTCTGGCATTGCCATCAAATTATCTTGAAGGACGCTTCTCCAAGAAAAACTAACCAGGGATGCGGGGACACCAGTGATCAATCCTACTTTCATTCATTTTGAAAGCATTGTATTTGTATTCCTACATTTACATTCATACTGTTTCAAATGAGCTCCATGTAATCCGAATGTAGATTCTTCTGAATGTGGATTAAAACCTTGTGATGGGATTGTTATAATTTGCTATGAATAGTTAATGAGAAAAAAAAGATCCAATTCAACAAAGAGTTTATTGATGCAAGAAAAGGAATACCTTTCCAGTGTATTTGAATGGTATAAAGAAGCAAAAAAGGGCCTGATTATCAGTATCGAACAATGTTGGTTTGTTATCATTATGTTATCTAAATCAATGATTTTTTTTAGGTAACAGCATGTCTTCCTTTTCCCCCTCAATATTGTTAAATTTGATTCATTGAATGAAAAGTTAATAGCAAAGATAATTTTCTTCTCAGATCTGAGAGGGCATGTATTTGTACATTATAACAAAAAGAGGAGTGTCTTTATTATTTTTCATAAAACCATTATGTTAATGATTTTCATGTGCTGTAATACCAAAAACGTTGCGTGCATGTACCGGTAACTTCCAAAAATTCAGTTTTGGTCCAGATTTGTGAGAAAAATTTTTTTAACGATTTTTTAAACCCTAAAAATAGCTATCATTGATAATTTGTTAGAGTTTCAGATGGCGAAGTCTGTGGTACTTTCACAGGCAGAGTGGTGCTTTTGAAAACCTGAATGATATGAGCTCATCAGAGGGGAGAAAGAAGGGGGTTTCAATTTGGAATGCAGCTGTAATTCTGTCAGTCTTCATCCATCTGCATTCATTTAGTCATTTGCGAACATCAGCATGCATTTATATCAAGTAGTTGTCTTTTTCCTTCCCTTATTTCCTTCTCTCATTTCCTTCTTTTCCTTCATTTCCTTCTCTCATTTCCTTCATTTCACAATCAGAACATCTTCATTTACAATCCCAGGTAATAGAGGTGCCTATGTTCATCCAAAGCCAAAATGTAAAAACCAATTGAACATGGAGTACTCTCCAAAGAGCTTGGTTTTATTAGCTAGAAGTGATTGAAATTCATTCCTATTTGCATCAGCCATGGAAAGCGTGAACAGACATTCAGGTGCACGAATAAATAAATGATAAAGGTGCATTGTGAGTGGGATAAGAAAGAGAGGTAAAGAGAATCTAGAATATTTATTTTAGTAAAGAAAACACGCACACCTAAATCCAGTTTGCATTAGAGAACCTTGGTATGTATAGTGTATACCCATGTAATTGTTTGGTTTTCACCATTTTGTATTGACAAAGTGTGGGTGATGAATCACGTTTTTCAACAAAGGAGGGAAAAAACTCTTTTTGAAGTCGGTAAAATCTGACCTTCGTTGAAATGTATAGTTTGAGATTCTTCACAAGAAAAGGTAGGACTCCATGCTGCTAGTTCGTCTGCAGAAAAATCACTTATCTCACAGATTAGATTAAACTTACCCCATTTATACTGCGGCCTAAATTTAGGGCGCTCGTGGACCAACCCAACTTCAACTGGCCCGAATCCATTTAAACTGCCATTTACAACTACTCACTGCTTGTGAGTCTGACCCTAAACTACCTCTGTAACCTGTCATTCCCCTCACATGTTTATTCTGCATCCGCAACAATCCAAATCAACTGCTAAATTATTTAAACCTTAAGAACAGACAACACGCCAAAAACATCGCGAATCGACTAACTGCATCTTGTCTGCATGTGAGAGGTATATGGTTTCACTTGGTGTACAGTGAGCGCTAGTTAGTAAACACATGTAACCCATTCTAAATCACTGTGATCCTTTATACTAGAGTTGGGACGCCCCTGGTCTAGTATGGGGGCACCCCTTGGACTGCCCTAACTTTGGGGTACCCTAATTTTTCTTACCCATTTATACTGGAAATCAGACCACCTTTGGACCAGACCGGACCAGGGGCGGTAGAACTGCCAGTGTAAATGGGGTATCAGTGCGCGATTGCACAGTTCATGCCACCGTGTGAGGTTAGTTCCTCAATTGAAGAGAACTAAATCATCTCTGACCTTTGCACCCTCTCTGCATCTCTTTCTTGCTCATCACAACACATAATATAATAAATATATGTTGTGTTATCTTTAAATCTTATTTCTACTACTGCCTGCTAACATGAATTTTACCAGACATTTTTTGTAGGTTTCTCAATTTGCTTTAACAAACTATTTGATAATGGATTTAATTGTGAAAATAGTTACTGAAAGGTAGCTTGTTCACCAGATAGTTCTAAAATGTAAGAATAAATCCTTGGGAAATTTATAAGAAAAAATGACGTGATTTCATTACTTTGAAAGTAATTTTAATTTTTTCATGTGGTTTGAAGAAAAAAAAATCATAAGATGTCATAACCTGAGGAAATATTTTAAAGGATTCTCTCAGCCTACTCACCACCCATTTTATCTTACTTTTCATGACCCTTGAAATGACATTAAACTTGCAAAAGTTAAATTTAATCTGAATTAACAAATTGTAGTGATAGTTACACATTCCCAGATAATCAAATGAAAATATAAGAAATGACTGTTCAAAATTACAAATCAATCAATCAATGAATAGCTTTTTGTAGAATATGTAGGCCTATAAGCTGAGTTTTGAGCAACAGAAAATAATCTATTTCCAAATGTGAATTTTGCCTTGTAGTGAATGTGATTTATAAAGTTGCTTTACTTTGTTGGTTTAAACAATCCTCATTCTAGTACCTGTTGCATGCTTTACAAGCACCTTTGAAATACAATTTTAATCCTTAATGAATTGAAGTATTGTTATATTGATTGTTTAATGTCATTTAATCTTTCTCATTTACCAAGTAGAACAAGTAGAACCAAGTGACTGCAATGAGCTGATAGGACTAGACTTTTCCTTGTTGTCAATGCTATTGCCCATTACTTCCTCTGTATCTTTCTTCACTTTCCTTTTTCTTTGGGGGGGGGGGGGTAGGGTTACATGTAGATATCATCAGAGATATCTATTCCTGTCCATTCAATGGCTTTCACATCAACAATACAAGAAGAGCCAATAGGGACCTCCTCTGGGCCACTCTGGCACCAACCTAGTCGTTTACCCAAAGTTGTGTCTTTTGAATTATAAAATACACTATAGGCCTGCCTTCATCAGCTCGAGTTTGCCTAATAACCCGCTATTTTAACTACCGGTACCCGGATCATAAATTAACAAGTTAATTTGCGTCCTTATCAGCCCGCAGTTAGCAGAATATTTAGTCAAGAAAAATTTCATGAGAAATCTTTGTCTTGTTTCAAAAATATCCCGCTATTTGGGAAATAGCGGGCTAATTTGCACCCGTCAGAGCTAGTTTGTGATGAGCGTATCGGTCTGGTGTAGACGTAATTTACAGCTTCAGGATAATATCCCGAGTCTGAAAAAAGCGGGTTATTTGGCAAACTCGAGCTGATGAGGACAGGCCTATTGTCGTGATTTTATTATTCCAAATTTATCTTTAAAATGTTCCACTGCAACAGCTGTCACTCCCGCAGATTAGGCCTAGAAAATGGAGATACATGTATCAACCCCTAAAAATCAAGGATATTTACTCTCAGTAAAAGATGAGTTCATGTCCTTCTAGCTCTCCCATCAGACATGTTTCTTAGTTAATAGTAAATTGAATAGAAAATCAATCACATTAAGACAATTCATAATTTTAGGGAAAACCCCGGAAATTCAAGGTATTACAAAGTTTTGTGAATTTTTGAAAATTGGGTGGATATTGTTTCTTTACAAATTTGATATATTTGGATGTCCCTATGGATGTTTTATAAGTGCTAGAAAATTTACCCCCTAAAACACTTCTGCTTTAGAGAAAAATTGAATATAAAAATTTACTGGCGCAACAACTGCGACAACGATCACTAAATATTGTAGGATCGCATATGCTTTGAATATGTTCATTTGAACCAAATTCATGACCCCATACCCAAACTTTGTATTACCCTTAAGTAATTTTGGTCTGTTTTGTTTACATTGAAAACTTCTACAAGTTTAATTCATGTATGCTCACAGGAAGTGATTTACTATCTATTTAATTTATAGTGAGTGAAACATGTGTTATTGTTAGGACTCCATCTTAATAGAAAGTACCATACAGACTTTGCTTGTTTTCCCATCTACATTCACTTACAGTAGTTAGTTTCTTTGTTAAAATCTTAAAGATTATCTTTATTCATAATGAATTTTAAAAAAAGCTTAAGAACTCGAGTCAGTAAAAGTCTTGAAGTTATGAAGTTAAATAAATCATTTGTGTAAAGGTATCTCAACCTGTTTTGAATCTTCTGGATCTTTTGTATTGCATTTACAAATTAGTTATTTTCAAGAAAATTTTGTCCGTATGATTTGTGTTTGAGAGGAAAATATCCAATCATCCCAACTATTCCTACATCCAGGAACATGTCCTTATTTCTTGAAAAAATCTGGCCTAGAAACTAAGATTAAATTTGACTTGACTTTCTTCCAGTGACAAGAATACGTAAAGAAGGTTAGGATGATGTAGACTATTGAATATCTCACCTTAGCCCATGTTTGTGATCTCGGAGGAGTAGAGCGAAACTTTTTGAACTCCTGTGTTTATTGTGTTCAGTGAATACACCACAGTGTGATAATGCTAGCCTAGCCCCAGAGTGTGTGTGTGTGTGTGTGTGTGTGTGTTACTGTGGTGCTGATTCGGGGTGCGTGTATGTGTGTGTGTGCATATTCTGTTTTCTTAGTGTTTTTATGTAAACGAGGATAGAATGAATGCCTGTGCACTGGAGCAAAAGCGAGCGCAGGCGGGCTGATTGCTCTACCAGTTCCAAGTACCACGACACAGGGAGGGCTGGCATAAGCGGGTTCATTGTGTGCTCCTAAAAAACTATTCCATTGAACAAAGTTCAGCGTTGGGCTAGTGCTGACTCCTCACGTACATAACAGGCACAGTAGAGGAAAGAGAACGCATTGCGTTGGTACCGTTCTACATTTGACTTCTTTGCTCTGTTTGGATTCATGGATTTTTATAAAGTGTGGATGTGATCAAGCTTTCTAGGATTGTTTCAATTCATTGACTGCATCTGGATGATGTACTTCATGATATAAAGGTAGATATTTGAGAGAGTTTTGCTTGATCATCTGAAAACTTTTTTGTGGTGGAAAGCTAATCCACCATTGGTGTGGTTACCCTCTGTAGATTGGGTCAAATTGAACAGAGGGACATTGTGGGTTGCATTGGATTTGGGGTGCTACAGAAGGGTGCTTACAGTGTACTGTATCTCCTACTGTTGCTGTTCTGTGAATATATGATGAACATTTCCTTCCAAAAGTATTATATGCAATACTTGTTGATACTTGGTTTATTTTTTGAGTTGAATGTTGTATCTTTGTAAGAGCATTGTGTGTGTATTTCCATAAATCAGTATTGTTTTCAGAACTTCTGATGTTTTGAAGTGTTTGTAATATGTTGCTTTGAGAAAAAAATCCTGAACACATGGATGCATTAATTTCTGTGTAATTAATGAAATTAATTCTCTTAGGTAGTGTTTTTATTTTTTTACCCCATCTTTATAGTTTCTCAAACCTTTTTCTTCCTTTTGCAGCTTCGAATCCATGGTAAAGAAAAGGACATCAGTGAACACCATGTTCATAATGTTGCTGGAATGATGACTTTAACTGTTAAAAAGATGTTTGCTGATATTAAACTCTAGCTGTAGCAACTTTGGAGTTGACGTGGAATAAATTTGTAGACAACTTGACTGGATTCTCGTGAAATTGAACCAAAATCAACAACACCCGGAGTGAGGAATACACTGTTGGCAGAGAGTCCGTGAGGGCTTATCAAGTACTGCATTTTCTTCTGTCACAGTTTTGTGAAAACTATGCTTCGGTCAGCCACGGCATCATGAGTCTGCCGCGTTGTCCGAGGACACGTACCGTCATGTTTTCTAGAACTTTGACTCGTTGTTATCCTCAAAGAACGCTTTGGATTGCGATATTATGTGTAATATGCAGTTGGACATTATCAACGACTGGAGCAACTACAATACGAGATAAAGAAGGTTTGTAATGTTCACTTCTTCTCAAAAACTCTATATACAGAGCTTGCCTTAAACCATTTTACATGTCATACTTCCTTGCAGAAATTAGACTTGTTTCTTGGCTTTCATGCTTTATCAGAATTTTGCTGAACACCTTATTTGTTCTTAGTATTGTATAGTTTAGATTGTAGGCATTGTAGCAATTATACTATTTTCAGTATACAGACAAAATTATTGTACCTTTAAGGCTTTATTAGGTACAGTAACTTTCGACCAAGAACAGTAATTTGATAGCATTTACCTTTGTAGAAAAGGTAGAATATAGGTCTTCTTACATTCAATCATTTGTTTCGATCAATTGTTTCTTTGAAATTGAATATTTATTTGCTAAGAATAGAACTTAATCTGTTAGACCAGGAGAAAAGTTATTTCCTTCTTTGTCATTATTAATGAATGAAATTGTATTACAAGAGAAATCATGTAAAATGTAGAAATAGGAGAGTCTGGGAGGGGATACCTACTCTTTTGGAATTGGTACTGAACAAGGTTTATGAACCAATTTTTATGGTTAGATGACACAAATTGAATTCTGACAATTTTCTGCCTCTGTCCCAAAGCCCTGGAGGAAACATCAGAAAGCAATCAGCAGCTGTCCCCATCAGTCTGGGGGTAGGTAGCCAGCCAGCCCACCACCTCCTTTACTCTAATAGCATCCCCATGTTCCACAGCTCCTTGCTTCCATAATTCATGGCTTGTTGGCTCGGGCTCGCTGGGGGAATGGCTCCATGCTCGGGGTGTAAAATTGTCACTTGATGAACTCCCGGTGGAGTTATGGGCTCATTATGAGTTTCTAGTAGATAGCTTGCTTCCACATCCTACTCATCACCTTTGTATTGCCCAGTCTTTCTGCATCAAGTTTAAATATTCAAGAGTTTAAAGAGTCAAGTCCATGGGATGAGTGAAACGTGCATGTAGTCATGTACATAGATGTTATCATTATCATTGTGCTCACTTTCCTTGAATTGTATAGAAAGTACTCCAAGAAAGAATATATGTTTGGAAATTTTACCCTATTTGAATGTCGCAATCAGTCAACTGATTGAAGAAGAACAAAATTGTATTTCATTTCCATTTCATTCTAATGTAAAGTCTAAAATATGGACTTGGAGGATAAAATAATGTTGATTTCATGGTGATTTAATATGTCTTCACTTTTGTGATGTTCATTCAATTGTTGGTAACTTCATTGACATTGTCGTCTATTGAAGAAAATATTAGAACTTACAGATATTTTTTAAGTTGATAATGATATACAGTAGATCAAACCCTGGCTTAAGCCTGTTGTAGAACGTTTATTTGCGATTTTGTTTTGACATGAATTTGTCATGACAACTAACTGAATTTCAAATTCCAGTATTTCATATTTGTAATGCAAGCACTCTCCCTAGTGAGAAAGGTATTTCTTTTATTTAATGCTGGATGACTCATTCAAGATTCTAATTTGATCCAAATTATCTCCCCTGTTGAGTCCAACAATGCCAGACTATTACTCTCTTCCTACCAGCATACTATTAAGAAATTTAGGATACAAACAATATGTCCCATGCTGCTCGATTCCTATCACACGCCCAGTTTTCTTTTATATTATTTGTATAGCCCCATTGCTTTTCTACTAGACCAGCAAGCAATTCAGGTTTCGATTTTATTATTTCAAAGATACACAAATTAGTTGAATACGGCCTTATAGCCAGAAATTTGATAAATTTGCTATTTTTCAGTCATGTGGAATGTGCAGTAGATCAAAATACAGTCAAAAGTAATAAGTTGGAACTTTTTAGAACTTCAAATGTGCATTCAAATTGCTCTATAGCTGGGCATTTTGAACAGTTGTTAACCTAGGCATGATGCTTCAGAAATTTGATGACCAGACGGTAGCAAATATTGCCTGACATATCACCATGGCGCATGAATTTAAATTCCAGATTCTTTAGAATTTGGCATTTATGGATGACCAGTTGGGAACAAAAACCCCACTGTAATTTACAAAAATCATACTCTCTTCTCTTGTGTCAGAGAGAGAATAGTGCCTACCAGTTCATTTTGCAACTTTTCACTTTTTACCCTGTTCCTTATTCTGATGTACTGCTCACTCCAAGGCTGCAAAATCATAACACATGGGGTATCATTTTAAAGAGGAATAAACACACTTCTGATAATAATAATCAAAGCAGTGATTATGCCATAATAATTAATAAGAGAGATATAAGCGATCAACTTGAGTTTCCAAACTTTTTTTTGAGGGGTTCATTTACCTGCATATTGATTTGTACATATTTTTTTTCTTCAATGTACAATGACTTTTCATTGACAAACCATGTAGTTTTCTATTGAAAACTCTGTTTGTTCTTGAACATGATAAAATATATTAGTTTCTGTTCTAATAGGGAATCAAGATTTAGAGATAGTAGCATCTGCAAAAATTAGTGAAAAATGTAAATGTTTCCTAACTTAAACATAACCTTCCTATTGTGAATGGATATTGTTATTGGGTAAGTCCAACAGGAAAGCCTATATATCTTGTTATTTTTAAATAATCATCTAACCTTCATGCCACCAATATAATCTTGTATAGTAAGAAGAGGTGAGGCAAGCAAGCTTTACAATCTCCTGTGATAAGTTGAGATTCTTGCCCCTCTCTGTAAATATACTCTACCTGACCCACTAGAGAGATAAAAGCGATAAACTCAATAAACTTGCTCTCTTCTGCAATCAAGGTGCACCTGCTGGCCAAAGTCCTCTAACTTCCCATTGATAGATGCATGCACTAAACCATGCTGCCTAAGCCAAAAAGAAAGCTCGATCTACAGCCCTTCTGCAAACCAACATACAGTTATGTGTGTGGGCCTATGGTTACATGTATATCAGATCTGAATCACAGACATATTGATGTAAGATGCAGGCATTGATAAGTACCGGTACTGGCCTTTTTACAGCGAAATGTGGATCTACATAAGAGTCTGGTTTTCTCATGAGACAGTAAACACTGGTGTAATGAATGAATGTATGTAATGGAGGTATGAATATACCGAGTTGCACATTATGTAGAGATTTATGGAGAGATTTATGTAGATGTGCTTCATTCAATAACTTCAAAGAAGTAAAAGTTCAAAACAGGGATTTTGGCTAGAGGACTTTCCACTAGCCATAGCTATTAGCTACAGTATGCTGTGTTTAATCTGCTTCTTACTTTGATAAAAGGAAAATAGTTTTACAGTTTATACTGTATGCAATTTTAAAAGATGTCCTACCTTTTTGGTAGGTTTATTAGTTCGAAAGCGGGAAGACGAGATGGCGCAAGTTTGAAAGGAATATGATGAATATCAAATTTACCAAGCAAGAAATGTTGACAAATTGACATTATACTTTGAATGAATATGAGAGTTGTTTACCGCTACATCAGTGACAATGATTTGATATTTGAGTATCTAGTTACTGAAGTACACGTTGTATAATGTAGGTCTACACGTTTCAAAATTGAACGTTTCTATTTTTCTGTTACTTTGATTTCTCTTCCCTTTCATTAAGCAGACAATTGTATTAAAAAAAAATGCTATGTTGTTGTTCTTAATCCTAGTTTAGACTAGTCAGGATTTGACAAACTGTATTAAAGAAGAAGTATCAATATATCCACTACCGATGACAAGAGAGGAATAATAGGCATACATGTATCACTCGATTACGATAAATTAAGTGACTTTAACAAACTGTCCTTAGCCCATTGTTAGCTTTTGTTAACAAGTTAATGTTCAGTGTTTACTTTATGGAAGGTAAATGTAATGAGAAAAAGGTTGCTGAAGAAAAAGAAAAGATAAAGAAGGAGAGATAAAAGGGAACATTTAAAGATAATAATCAGTATCAGTTATCACCAAATTGGAGAGTAGTTATTTGTCTGCATGGGTTGGGTAACATTCCAAGGCAGCGCACCTGCATCTCAGTGAAAGGTACAGCTTGATAATTTGATCAATGATGATGGAATTATTATCAATCCCCGAAAGCCGCCTCAAAGAAGAAACAGACCAAATTGGACTTATTATCCAGTCTGTCTCTCTGGAGATAGGCTTGTTTGGCGCTAGCTTTACAATGGGATAGTAACAATGACCCAGCAGTTGGGCCATTTTTTTCTTCTTGATTTCTTACTCCGTCCACAACAAAACAAGTTGTTTTCTTTGAAGGCAAGTCATTGGTGCCAATAATTGATTTTGTTGGACCCACCTATTGAATGAGCTCGCTGGTTGAGTTTTTAGATGGACTAATGATACCCGCTAATCAGCATTCCTCAACTCAGTCTCTGAAGCCCCTCACTGTCCCTTTTGTGTCCCATCCCTCTGCCTCGTTCTAGCGAGAAAATGGCTCCTATAGAAATCCCTTTTATATGCTTGACTTTAGAATCAGCTTTGTGTTCTATTTATCTCCTCTTCTCTCTAGGCAGCAACCAAGCTACCGTGGTATGTAATGGGGCCTAGTATGGAACAACAATCAGTCGTTTTAAACTACCTACTGCTTTTCCCTGTCTACTTTATTAAAAAAAATATTGGTAGATCAGTACGAACTGCTTTTGTAAAAAAATGTTAGTCACCATTGAAAAAGGGCAGTTGGAAGATGAGAATGGGATTACTAAATAGGCCTATAACCCGAACATAGATGGTATAGGCCTACATGGTGTGATAGTTTCGATAAAACATGACTACTATCCACATGGTCCAGTAGTCATTTTGTCTACATGTACTTATCATTTGGTCTAATGACCGTTTAGGCTCATAGTCATTTGGTCTAACTTCTATTTGGTCTAGTCTCCAATAATTCCAGTTCAAAATACTTGGAAAATCTGTGTGCACAAATATTTGAATACATAAATGGTATTCATCCCAGGCCTAATGCACAGCCTCAAATGACCAGTTGGCAAGCTGTGTTTGGTCCAAATAAGTTCCAAGGATGGTACTTTCTTTACTAATGCCTCCTAA